CGTACGCACAACTTAAGAACAAATCTGTGCGTATGAACGGTTCTTGCATGAGGCCCACTGTTTTTTGTGTACAGTGCTCTGAGACATTTATTGTGACTTGGCGCTATATAAATAAACTGAATTGGATTTAAAGCGACAGCGTCAAAACAAGTTGAACCGAGATGCAAGAGTGAAAGAGGGGCTTGTGGAGTTACAATACGGAGGAATTCAGACCAAAGCRTTGCAGTTTCACTTTACATAAACCCAAACTGAATGATTTAAATGTGAAAATGTAGGATTTAAAAGCAYATGTTCATTTTAAAGATGATCATCTGCAGTGGAATCTTGAACTGTAACAGATGGACATCTTTCCATCCGTTACTTTCTGAAAGGTGTACTTTTAAGATCTAAATAGACAAAATACAATTCCTGGTTCAAGTTTGGTGAAAGAAAAGTTCTCAGATGGATGAAAAAGAAGTGGACAAACAGTTACAGGTAACACAGCCATGGAAGTGAAATGAGGACAAAAACACACACATCAGAAGCRTCCACACTTTACTGCACTCTCAACAGCACAAAATTCTGTCACAACAATATTACTCCATCACCTGAATAACTATTTAAAAACAGGCCCCGTGTTTGGCTAGCAGTTAGCCTAGCGTGGATGAAGACTTTTACCTCTGTGCTTTCTTACTGCTGTAACAGTTAATAATRTGCTAAATGTTGCTAGCTAACAGACAGAACAGTACTTCAAAAATGACCAGACTATCCTTTAATCCATTCTGTGAGTAAATTAAAGAATAAATCCCATCTTCTTCATGGCTGTTAAAGCTTTGTGAACAGGAGTCTTCATCAGTAAGCTGTGGCTTTCCCTCCACTGTGGAGCCTCAGGAAGCTGACTGTCTGCAGACAGAAGGAACAAACTCAATGTGTTTAAAGTCAATTATTTTGTTGTATTAAAACACAAAGTTATTGAAAATAAACTCATGTGAACAATGGTTCTGATGCAGATTAAGATTTCAAATTATTCCACTCTTTAATTTTTAAGTGGTACTTAACCCCACCCGTGAAAGGATAACTCCGCCCCAAGGCAAATTTGAAAAATGCCAACAAAGTGGGCRGTGCCAGGAGACACTGAGGGGCGGGGCCTAAAGTGTGTGTGTGACGAGAGAACGTGACAGCTAGCTTTAGCTAACAGGAGCTAACATTCCTGAAATCATTTCTGAATTTTCTAAATAAATGACTGTAAAAAGTAAAGTTTCATGATATACAACAACATAACAGGTCAGGTTCCTCTAACAGAAACCTAAAAATACATGTATAATATTATTTTACACTCTGTAGGTCTAAATATTAATCTGACATTTATAATATTATTTTACACTCTGTAGGTCTAAATATTAATCTGACATTTATAATATTATTTTACACTCTGTAGGTCTAAATATTAATCAGACATTTATATTATTATTTTACACTCTGTAGGTCTAAATATTAATCAGACAATTATAATTTTATTTTACACTCTGTAGGTC